GTGAACTAAATTGCATGACTAACATGTACAATTTTAAACCTTAACTAGCCAAACGGAGACACAGATACAATACAACCACTTGGATTCAAAAGAGCACACGCATAACCTCAGCTCATTACGAAACAAATGTTTGAATGCAGGACAGCATGGAGATTATACATATATGTGCAGAGTCAAAACTAGAACTTAGTTTCCTTTAACCTTGTTTTTCGTCATTTAATATTAGCTTGAAAACAGCTCCAGCAGTCTTGCTTATTTCAAAGTAACATTATTGAGTGGTATTAATGAAGTTTTGGCTCCTCAGCTGCTACTTCAAATGCTCTTTTTTTTTTTTCTGAGACATAGAAATTGAATGTTTTTGCTGGCAGGAATTGCAAATCCTTTATCCATCAGGGAGCTAAACTGTGCATTTTCATGCATTTGGGCACAAATGAAAAGCAGTGGTAGGTGTGATTTGATAAACATTAGGCATCTAGTGATATAGTAATGAATTAACATGGGCAATGAGCGAATGCTGGATAGTTCATACACCGTATCTATGCCAAGGAACCCATGTTCTATGGTCAGCGTGCCACCCTACAACCAATAAGACTGCTAGAAAACCTTTTGTTTTGGGAAGAAAACTAACCTTTGAGTCAATAAAGTTCAGCAAAGATAACAATGCGTCAATATCTCCACCCAACTTGGTTGAATCTGGACAAAACACAGTTACTTTCAAAAAGTATATATATCAACTGGAATAATCTGAATAAACATTCATGCAATTGTATCCGAGCACACACTGGAAAACATGTGAGGTTGACGGGTCATGTTGTGGGCTGAAGAAGGAGTGGGAGGGGAGCTGGGATTGAGGGAGAGTAGAAGAACCTGATGAAACTTGGGTTTGAAGCGTATCAATTTCTCCAGACAACTTCACGTTTTCCTCCTCGGTTGATTTTAAATCCTTCTTTAACTGCTCAATGAAGGCTTCTGCAAAAATACAAATCATCGCCAAAAAGGGAATATCAAATTCACATGCCCGATCACAACTGGAGAATAAGACTGAGTTTTTTTTTTTTCTTTGATCCCCTCAATCACGATGGACGTGATTAGGATTTTCAAATTTCAATCATTGTAAGTTTGTGTTAAAACTGTGACTGTAGGGTCACAAAACAACTAAAAATAGCACGTTAAACTGCAATATCTAGCAGTAAAGACAAGTAACAACAACGACATTGCGTTTTGTTGAACAGATGCAGAAGGAGAAAATAATAATAATAACAGAAGCCGATACGGCGGTGCCTCAAAATACAATGTGGCTCCGACTTTATTTTTAAAAAAAAAGGATCATGACAAAAGCCCAATAATCAAAATAAACATAGTTAAAACTCAAGCTTGCCTAGATCAGCTGGCCCTAAAGCCTCGACGTCATGGTCTACGCTAAGTGCCTGCTCAAAGTGAAAGCTCAATTTCAAGGTAAATGCCAGTCAAGTCTAAACAAAGATGAACGAAATTTGCGAGAAAGAGTTCAAAGTTTCACCAGCACATTGCGGCTGAAGTCCTCCAATAAACTATTCGGTTCCGGAATCAAATCACCGGAGGAACTGAGAACATCATCGAGCGACGCGGAGAGCTCCTTCAAGCGACTGCGAAAACTATCGGCGTCAAGGAGAAGTAAATGAGCGGAAACTGATGAAGATAATCCGAAGGAAATACACAGATTAAAAGAAACCTCCTAATGCTTTGCATGTCGACGGCGTCAATGTTCGATACATCGGTGATTAGGTTTTCGCCCATCGCCCCTTCTTTCCCTCTAGCAAGCTCGCTCTAGGAGACGAACACTCTTTCTGCCTCCCGCCTCAAATGATTTCAAGCAATCGCGTGGGGTCTATTTATTTGTGGCCCGTTCGATTCCTGTATTGGACCACTTTGTTCCGACAGTGGCTGTATTTTTCTTTAATGGTGTTTAATATACCTAGTGAGGGGATTGTGACTTTGGGCGATCAAGTCATTAATAAGAGTACACGTTTTAGATATCTTGGATCTATTGTTCAGAGTGATGGTGAAATAGATTGGGATATTATCAGCAGAATTCAAGTTGGATGGTTGAAGTGGAGGAATGCATCGGGCTTGTTATGTGATAGAAATGTACCCCTCAAACTTAAGGGAAAATTCTATAAGATGGTAGTGAGGCCTGCAATGCTTTATGGTGCCGAATGTTGGCCATTAAAAGAGCAGCATAATACTAAGTTAAGTGTGGCAGAGATGAGGATGCTCAGGTGGATGAGTGGCTTTACCCTTAGAGATAGGATACGAAATGAGCATATACGTGAAAAGGTTGGAGTAGCTCCAGTAGAAGATAAGATTAGAGAAAGTCGTCTTAGATGATTTGGTCACATAAAACATCGGCCTTGTGATGACCCGGTTAGGAGAGTAGAGGTTTTAGATTTGACTTATGTTAAGAAAGGTAGGGGTATACCTAAAAAGACTTGGTTAGAAAATCTTAGTAATGACCTTTCTTTATTAGATTTAAACGAGAATTTGACTTTTAATAGGACACAATGGAGAAAAAGGATTCATGTAGCCGACCCCACGTAGTGGGATAAAGGCTTGATGTTGTTGTTGTTGTTGTGGTGTTATATATTTAGAGGAATTTTATTGAGAAAAATTTATTGTCAATATCATAAATTTAAATAATATATTTTCTTATTTATTAGTATATAAATATTATTGTTGTGAGTTAAAAAATTCTTAAGGATAGAGTGAGTGGATTTTGCACTATAATTTTACACAAAAATCTAGCACAAAAAATATATATAAATAAATAAATTTGAGTGACATTAAAATTTTTACATAAAAAAATTGAAAATGAGGAAAACTTAGAGGGTCTTATCGAGCTAAAATAATAACACTATGTTAGTATTGATTACAAAAAAATCTACAATACCGTAATTTGGAGATGACGAGACTGTGCAAGTATAATGTGAAAGGCATCAAATAATCGTAGTTGAATGACGATAATCTGATAGCATTGATTAGGCAGCGGTGGACCAACACTGACACTTATGCGACGATGATCCGGTGATGATAGTAGTTAAACAATGCTAGTTTAATAGCAAAGGTCCAATAATAGCCGCCGAATCCCATGTACCAAGAAGGCTTTCAATAATGTAGATATTAAGTTCTTTCAATATCCACTCCTATCTGATATGAAGCAAATTTAACAACTCATTTGACCTCCCCTATCTCTTAATGGTAAATCAACCATTTAAAAAAACATATATGTAGGGCTAAGTTTTAGAATAATCAAATGTTAAAAATTCCAATCCCATCATGTTACTTCGGCATGAAATAAACCCTTAAGAATCAGTTTTAAATTTACATATTTTAGATTAATGCTCAACGCTCAGTGTAATCTCGTATTGCATAAATAAGATAATTAAGGGTTCGTTTGGGACGGCTTTTTTATTGCAGAAATGAGGCAACATAACAGCACATGCCATGAAGATCTAAAATAATTTACAAATTTGAGGGAATTTTTTTTATATAGATATATTTGAGTATTATTATTATTATTTAAAAAAAAAGGGAAAAACATGCCAAATTTTCATTGAAAATAATAGAAATTACAAAAATTCAAAAGTTGTGAGAAAAACAAGAAAAACTATAATCCATGAAAAAAGAAGAAAATAAACAACAATAACAAAGAGCTATTTGAGCATGAGCAACTAAATAAGAAAAATAGTCCACCAACAATTCTGCCATCAATACCCCGAATAACCAGCAAAAATATAAAAAAGCAACATAGCAACAAAAAAATTCTTCTCTAACAATAGCCCATAATTATCCAGCAATTCCAATAAGAACAACAATCCTGCCAGCAATAGATCAAAGCTAGAAATCCTCCTTAAACAGCACCAGCCAAATATAAAGCCAGGAATCTACACCAAATGCTAAAATGAATTGCATCCTCATCGAACCAGAACCGCAAGAGATAAACCATCAATATGCAAACCCAAATCAACCATGTGAGAACGCTTCAACTTGCCAAAATAAAACAAAAAATAACTAGTATCAAGCCAAAAAAAAAAAAAAAAAACCAGCTACAATGAAGACTCCCAACAACTGACCAGCCCAAAAACCAGATCAAGAAATCAACAAAAAAAATCCACCTGTAATCAACAAATAACAGATATAACCAACCAAAAACTGTCAGTCAAACCCACAAATTAAAAACACCCTAAACCACCAAACAAAAAGAACAAATAAATAAAAGAAACAAAAACCAAAAACCAAAACAAAAATAAGCTATTAATGTCCATACAAAATAAATTCAATTGACAATAATAGAAAAATCCCAACCAAATAAAAGACTAGCAACTATCAAATAAAAGAACCAACCAACCAAAAAGCTGATATATTTGATCTAGATTAAAATTTGAATCATGCACACATAATAAGTTACGTCATCTAGATTACTTTGCGCAAAAAGAAAATCATCGTGGTAACGATCAGGCGAACTTAAGATGATTTGCTTTTGCAACTGACTTTAATTCCAGTGCTCAAAATTTTCAAAAGTTCCTACCCCCAACCGTCATCTTCTTATCGCGAAATCTTTCCCTTGCTACTCACTTGTACCAAATCTTCGAATCCCTAACCCTAGAGCACGTGAAGAACTCAGAAGAATTTTCAATCTCACTCGTAGATACTTAATCGCTGATCTTATCGTTAATTTTTCTGTTTTTTGTTTGGTTCCTGGGATTTTCCTCGGGTTACGCGGTTGAGCATGAGCTCCATGGCGTCCGCGAGGCGAGGTATGAAGAAGCAAGCGAGAGATGCGAACCGCCGGAAGTCATCCCTAACCATCGATCTAAATTCCCCTCCGTCGGTGCCTGCGGTTCGGCATGCGGAGGGGACCTCAGCTATGGCCGAGGCTGCCACAGCTGAGATGACCGCGTTGCCAATTGATATCGAGGCGATCGAGGACGACGATGTGCAGTTGCTGTCCTCCCCTAGGGCGTTTACTCAGGTCTTTTCTCATCTGTTCTTAATGGTTGATTTTTGCTGTAGAGTTTGATCTTAATATTTTGGGGTAAGAATGTGCTTTTGGTCTTGTTGAATGGTCAAGGTAAGGGATCAGTTGAGGGTACGCCCAGTGATGGTGGTGCTGGATGAAGACTCGGAATTAAGCACTGGAACTTCAGGTTATTTTAGTTTTTATGTTTCTGTAGTTGGATGTTCATTAAAATATAGTTCATTAAAATGATTATTGAAAAAAAAATGTAAAACAAAATATGTTGAACCATTAATAAAAGGGGGGTCCTATTGTCTTATAAACTGGGTATTACTGCAGAAAGTAACAAATGATGAAAGAACTCGTGGAGTGATGATGGTGCCTAATAATTAAATGACTGAGTTTTATATTTCTTTACGTGACAATAGAAATTAGTTGATTAGCATTTTGAAATATATTTTTTTTGTATGTTTCATCACTTTTTGTTTGGTTTATTTCGGTTTTACAAAACCTTAAAACTAAACCAAATCATCCAAATCAAACCAAAATGACTAGTTTAGTTGCTTCGGTATGGGTTTTTGGATTAATCTATTTTTTGGTGTCCCTATTTTAAGCAAGCATCTATTTGGGAAATTCATGAATCCTAACACTTCACAAACTAGGAACAGGATAGACTTATTGTTTTTGTCTCTTTGTAAAACAAACCGTATATGCATTTTCCTGCCTTTTTTAACTAGGTGTAAACTTTTTTTTGCACTTTGTATTCATAGTTATTGTATGAATCTAGATCATCTAACTTTTTAGTGATTTAATTTATTTCATTAATTAATTGACTTTTTTTTTATTTGTTCTTGTAGTGATCAATGTAGACGATCATCTTTCTAGAGTACCTCTCAATAACTTTAGAAGACGTCAAAGGCTTTCACCAAATAGGGCTGTGATTAATTGTGAGGCTTATGTGAATGTTGAAGATGATCACGTAGCCAAGGTACTCCCAAATTTAAAGTGAATGCTCTCCTCTCACACACACAACATTTGAAGCTTTTAACCGAGAAATTGATGGTAATATTGTTTCGTGTCTAGTTTGTATTTAATTTATTGCGTTTCTAGTCAAGATCTTTGGCTTGTTATAAAATAAATTGAGTAAACAATGAATAAATTCACTGCTAATATCAAAACAGTGAGGGTGATAGCTGCTGTTCAACTTCAAAAAACACACTCTAGATGTTGGACTTGATAGCAACAATGAGCTGGTTGACCGCATCATTCAAGTGCGCGCTTAGCACACAATGTGGTGGCAATTAGTGCAACGCGTTCTAGCTATAGTTGAACACATGATGTAGAACGTCCTAGGGTATAGGGTTCGCTAATATAAATTTAGGACAAGATGCATAAAGAAACACATAAATATAAAATATTATTGTTTACCAACCTTCAATTTAATCAAAGTGTACTTTCTTTTGATGCAAAATCAGAAAAAAAATGCTTAAATATTATAAATGATAATATAAAAGTCACAAAAATGTGAAGTATCACCAAAAAGTTTGAGAATTTGTTAGGGCGGCTTAGGAGGGGCTGGATGAACCGGTCCAACTGGACCGGTTCACTGCTATAGCAGGCAGCCCAAGCCAAGTGGGGGGTGGAACCAAGGGGAGGGGGGCGAATACCCTAGTGGGCCCAATTTCTTGATGTAATCGTTGTTTAGGAGGGAAAGTTTGCATTAAGGGTTGTTTAGTCTTTTTGTAAGGGTCCTTTGGCTTTAATTACTCTTTTTGGTTAGTGTTTGCTTTTCATCTTGAATTTGGAAGAGATTTGAGATCTGGGGTTTGTTCTTTTTGGGCTCTAGGCTTTGCTAGAGAATTGGAGAGTTGTTTCTTACTTTCGAATCGAAGAAACTTATATCTTATATTATTTTTCTTGTTCATGGATTGAATAGAAGAAGATTCTTGTGTTTCTTCCCAATTTTTTTGGAATTTCTGCTTTGTCTTGCTGATTTCTCTCTGAAATCAGCTAGATTTCCCGTTGTTTTCACCAATTTTTGTTAGGTTTTTGATAGGAAGTACTTGAGTTCGCAAGTAACCACACGGGTAATACTTGAGTTCGCAAGCAATCCTACCAATAATCGGCAAAAACAGTGAACAAAAGGGCTGATTTCAATAGAAATCAGCAAAAAGCAATGCGGGAATTCTTGTAGGATGAGGAAGAAAACACCAAAGAAAACTTCGATTCAAATAACAAACACGAACACAAAGCAATATACAATATTCCTCAATTTGATAGGAAGGAAAACTCTCCATAATGTCTACTAGAGCCCAAGACAAACCCTAGATCTAAAGATTTCTCTCAATCTCAAGATGCAAACCCTAATTCTATCATTACTCCCTAATTAAAGCTAAAGGAGGGATATAAATTCCCTAAACACCCTTGTAATTTAAAATTTCTCTCCCAATATTGGATTTAACTCAAACTGGGGCCCGCTAGGTGGTCCGCCTCCCCTCTTCTTTGATGGTTCCGCCGGCTATACACAAGGACCGGTCCAGCCGGCCCCTCTTGGGCCGGCCTATCAGTTTGCTTGCAAACTCAAGTATTTCCCTTAGGGCTACTTGCGAACTCAAGTATTTCCTATCAGAACTAATATAAAATTCCACTATAATTTAGATTCATACCTAAAAATAAAAATCAACATGTAACAACAACATCAAGCTTTTATCCCACTACGTAAGGTTGGTCACATGAATCATTTTTCTTCATTGTGTCTTGTTAATTGTCAATTTCTCATTTACATCTAATAAAAAAGTTCATTTCTAATATTTTCTAACTATGTTTTTTTAGGTCTACCTCTACCTTTTTTATATAGGCCAAATCTAAAATATGCACTCTTCTAATTGATGTTTTATGTGACCAAACCATCAAAGATGATTCTCTAATCTCGTCTGCCACTGGAGTTTCCCCAACCTTATAACGTATAATGCTCGTTTCGCATTTTGTCTCTAAGAGTGAAGTCACTCATCCACCTGAGCATCAACATCTCTACAATACTAAACTTAATTTAATGCTTCTCTTTTAATTTGCCAACATTACGCACCATAAAACATTGCTTAGTCTCACCACTATCATATAGAATTTTCCCTTAAGTTTGAGGGGAACCTTTCTGTCATGCAACAAGTCTGATGCATTCCTCCACTTTCAACCATCCAATTGAATTCTAATAATAATATCCTCATCTATTTTACCATCAGTTTGAACAATAGATTAAAGATATGTAAAACGTGTACTCTTATTAATGGCATGATCATCCAAAGTCACAATCTGTTCACTAGATCTATGACTTAAAATCACACTCCATGCATTTGGTTTTAGATCTACTTTAAACGAAAACTTTTGGACTATTAAGGTTGGCTTCTATAGGTCAAGTTTTCCTTCAACTCCCTCTATAGTTATATCAATAAGAAGAATGCCATCGACAAAAACATACGCTAGGGTATCTCCTTTTACAAATGTCTAGTAAGAATATCCATGACTAAAACAAAAATATATGAGCTGAAGGTTGATCCTTGATGTTATCCAATCGAAATTGGGAAATACTTGGTCAAATCACTGTATTTGAACATTAGTAACAACTCTTGTATATTTTTAAATACTCGGTCAAACCACATTGTGTTTGAAAACCAGTATGTAACATACTGGACAAACTCTTAAGCATGTACAAGAGCCAATTATAAAACATGATGACAAAACAATGACAGAAACCACAAATTCTAAGATTTAGGCTTCACGCCTTTATAAGGAGAAGTATCCCTCAGGTCTTGTCATTAAGACTTGCACCACTCCTGATGAAACTATGATAAACTATAAAGTTATTATGCCTTCACCTATATTAGGAGGACTAATGCAATCATCTCCATCTACCTCATCATCTTGCTCGAATTATCATTACTAGGAAACTTGCAACAATTTTTTTTTTCATAATTAAGTACAAATTCTCCCAATATGTGAAAAGACAAACTTTTTTGTAACTTACATTCATTAGTAGTGAAAGCTCTTTCAACTAGGCAAGGCTCCACTATTTTCCCATATTTATAATATCTCAAATCATAATTTTTTTATCATAAAAAAAGGTGCTCATTGAGGCAATAATTTTAAGTAGAAGTACACAATAATTGAAAATAAAGTAAACCACAACTATGTAAGAAATTAACAGTAGATGCCAGTAGAACAAACTGTTGAATTAAGCTATGATTATTTCCTCATACAAGCTCAATCACCCCTTCAACTTTCATGTCCTCCACCAATGCTATTTTAGACACACTACCATCCTTTTTTTCCTTCGAATTTTTATAGATATAGACATATAGTAAAATATCATCAGTTTTAAGATACCTATAATGCTGATTGCAAAGACCAGAAGAGCACTCTTCTCGAAAACCATCTTACTATAATGCTGATTGCAAAGACCAGAAGAGCACTCTTCTCGAAAACCATCTTAATACTAGCATGCTACCGAGATATGGATGAATGGTTCTACATAGGTGGTCAGCTTTACATAAGGGCTCATAACAATTAAAAAAATATTTTCAATATTAAATATACATTTTGGTCTATGTAATAAAAAATGATCACTACTAAAATTGGAAGCTAATTTATAGTGACAAATTTGTAAATAGTTAAAATTTAAGTATTGCATATTCTCCAAATATAATATATTGATTTAATATATGTTGATCGGAGCCATATAGCTACAAATAGTCTGGCAGGCGTGGGGCAGCGAAGCATGCATCCGGACAACACGGTAGACGTCCGGGTAGGATTCTAAAATGCTGATTTCTTTCAAAATAATCGATCCAATTGATTATACTCATTACCTATCTGGTTATAGAATTATATCTACATCTCATGATCGTTGATTTCACTGGGTCGTGGTATTATCTTTCTTTTACTTATCATTAAAGCCTCAACACACACTTATGACTGCTCTCGAACATCGGACATATTGATTTCTTTGGCAGAAGCAACAAAACAAATGCGGATTGTTGCTTGACTAATCCTTTTCCTGAGAGTATGAACAAAGTATTGGTTCTGATCTATCTCTATCAGGTAGACGCTTCTCCATAAAAAAATTAGAATTTTATTACTACTTGAGGTGTCGTTGATTTATGAGTTCTTTCCACCTCTTGAACAAAATGTTATCAACTAGCTTATTCATAAGGTTTATCCTTCTTCTCAAATTTCATAATTTAACGAACTTATTTTCTATGCTTTCTAAATGCATCTTCACATAATTTTTGTCCAAAATTTCTCCTGATTTTCAATTGTTGCTAACTCTAAATTGAATTTTTTTAAATTTCTTTTTGAACATCAAACTATTTTTTGGCCTTATGGTTCACATAAACTAGTACTTGCTCAACTAAAGTTTTTATTTAAAACTTTGTCAATTCAGACATGATAATTGATTATTTGATGCTCTTTTGACTTTTGTGATCTTCAATAGACACTTTTTTCAAGCACATTGATTCCTATTTTATATTAGCGTGATTGCTTGCAAGAACTTTTGGAAAGGGAAAATCATGGGGCATCAATTGGATCGATTATTTTAAAAGAAATCAGCATATTGGAATCCTGCCTGTACGTCTGCTGCACTGCTCGGATGCCTGCTTCGTATTCCCATGCCTGCCTTACTATTTGTAGTTATATAGCTCTGATCAACATATATTAAATCAATATATTATATTTTAGGAATATACAATACTTAAATTTTAACTAGTTACAAAATTGTTACTATAAATTAGCTTCCAGTTTTAATCTTGATCTTTTTTTATTACATGGACCAAAATGTATATTTAATATTGAAAACTTTTTTTTTAAATGTTATGAGCCCTTGTATAAAGCTACAATTATCAGAATTATATGCAGTGATGCATGTCTATTGATATTTTCTTATGCTTGGACCTCCATTTTAAAATTATACTTGAGTTGGACAGATTCTACTCAAATGTTCCCATGGATGCCCCAACGGAGGTCTACTGATTTTCCCAGGTGGTCCCAGTCCTGATTTGCGGGTGAAATATTGTTTAAATGGAGCTGTAGGCCTCATTGGTTTCGGCATTTTTTTTTTTTAGAAACGAATAAATTATTTTTTTATCCCTGTTAGAATGGGACGATTCTGTAGAAATGATTTTTATGGAACTTCTTTTTGCTACTATTTTGAAAAGCTTCTTGATATCTTCTTCTCCGTTAGAAAACTTCATTCCCCTATCCGTTATTTTAATGTACTGCAGCCTTATAATTTACAGATATATTCACTTTAAGGATGTTTGACTATAGAAACTCATCTTCATCCCAAGTTATTATTATTATTTTTAGCGAAGTTATTCCTATTGCGGTCCTAAAAATTTTGTGAATATTGCCAGAGGAGAAATGGCGCAAACCATCGAACTGCGCCGGAAATAGTGGTGCCCAAGGAGCCTGTGTTCAGCTGCCCCATTTGCATGAGCTCACTGGTTGATCCATGTTCGACCATCTGCGGCCATATTTTTTGTCAAACCTGTATCAAGCAAGCTCTCCAATCCCAGAAAAAATGTCCGACTTGCAGAAGAAAAC